CCTATTTCTATGATTGTCTCATTTTAGGAACCCTTCAAAGTTGACCCTTGAACAATGCAGGGTTGGGTGTCGACCAGAGCTGCCGTCAAAAACCCATGTAATGGGTCGTCGGCCTTCTGTGTCCCTGTCCTTGGCCTCAGCTGGCCTTGGGGTGTGCAGTGGGCAGTGTGCATTTAGTGAGAGAAATCTGTGTCTGAGTGACCCGCGCAGTTCATCCTGGCTTGCCCGAGGCTCCCAGTGTGTAAATAGGTGTAACGTATGTGACCCTTGGGTTGGCTTTTCTGCTCAGCTGAGTCCTCTGGAGACTCACCCAGGTTGTTGCTTGTTGACGGTTGGTTGCTTTTTATTGTCTATGGTGCTCCAGGTGTGGATGGTCCACATGTGTCCAGCCGGGCACCTGCAGAAGGGCATCTGGGTTGTCTCTGGGTTGGGGCTGTTATGAATAAAGTTGCTGTAAACATTCTCCCACGCTGTTGTTTTTTTTTTTTTATGTGAATGTAAGTCTTCATTTCTCTGGGATAGCTGTCTGTGTTTGGTTTTAAGAACCCACTAGGCCGGTTCCCAAGTGGCTGTGTGGTGATCCAGTTCCCCTTGTCTTTGCTGGCCTTTGGGGTCGTCAGTCCTCTGCTTCAGCTGTTTTCGTAGGTGTGTGGTGGGTGCTTGTGGTTCTCAGGCCCTTTCCCTTGTGGCTGATGACGATGGACATCATTTCCCGTGTGTTTCTGTCTGTCTGCGCTCTTTGGTGAAATGTCTCTTTCTCATGTGAGTGTGTGTTCTGTTCTTGAGAGTTTTGTTCTGTTTGTTGCATGCGTGATTTTCACTTATCTGCTCACAGTCCCTAGCTGGTCTTTTCATCTTCTTAACAGGGTTGTTAACAGAGCAAAAGCCTTAAATTTTGATGGGTTCCAGTTTATCCTTCTCTTCTTCTATGGATTTGATGGCTAGTCTGCAGACTGTTCGCCCAGTCCTGAGTTTGGGGTATGATTCTTGTGAACATTTTCTAGTTTTATGCTTTGTATTAAGCCTGTGGTTCATTCCGAGGGCCTGTGTCGGGTGTGAGCTGAGATGGCTGGCTGACCCAGCGCTGTCTGTGGACAAGGCTGTCTTCCCCTCACTGTGTGGCTCCTCTGCCTTTGTCAACAGTGAATGAGTATGCTGTGCGGGCTGGTCTCCGAGTCCCCTGTTCTGTTCTGTGTGGTCTGCCTGTCTGTCTTGGTGACGTGGGCTGTGTAGGCTGTGTTGAGACTGGTTCCTGGTTCCTCCCACTTCTGTTTTGATTGCCGCTTGAAAGCCCTTCTCAGATAACGCTGATGTCCTGGGGTAGGCGTCTGTTGCCTTCGTTCATTCAGGTTGAGGTTCTCAATCTGGTGAGTGACTTTGAGTGCAACCTGGACGTATTATGTTACTGGATCCGAATCCTGCCTGACCCTCTGTTTCACTGTAAAGGAGGGGAGACCCGCCTCATTGCCGCCAGTGGGAGCGCACGTCCAGGCTCCCCAGCCTCCTCTGGCACTGCTGGGTGGGGCCTCCTGCGCCACCCCAGCGAGGAGGGGGCAAGCACCTGGGTGCCACGGGGTGGGGGTGGTCCAGGCTCCCAGCTCTGCTCCCTGACTGCATCGCAGGTGGGGTGGGAGGGGTCATCACAGCCCAGAGGGGATGGGACTCAAGGCTCCCCCACCCCATGTTCCTGCTGGGTGGGAGGCTGCGGTCTGGCTGGAATGGGGCAGTTCAGTCTGTCAGCCTCCTGTCCCGCTGGGAGGGCTTCTCCTGGCCCCTTGGCCGGAGAGACAGTTTTGTTGGGAGTTTTGGTCTGCTCACTGGTGCTTGCAGGTTGCTGGTGCCTTCAGCTCCAGGTCTGGGGTGGCGATGCAAACAAGACTGCGGGACTCACAGCCACACCATCCTCGGGTCCCAGCTGCTCTGCCGTCTTCTCCCCTACCCCTGCCCGAGCCTTCTCGCTGTGCTGTGCTGTGCCGTCTGGGGTTTTCAGTCGGGCTGAAGGGGAGGGGACGGACGTGCCCTCTGACCTCCCACTACGTGAGCCCCAAGGCCCGCTTTGAATCCAGCTCTCAGCCAGAGAGAGCAGGGTGCTTGGACGGCTCGTGTGGTTGCTTCGAGGACTGGTCCTCCGAGTCTCTCAGCAGCGCTTTGTAAGTCCTTTCTCACTCAGCCTCTGTGCTTCCCAAACGCCCCTCCCCTCCAGGCTCAGCACAGCCAGCGCACGAGGCTCCCCAGAGCACCCATACCTCCCCCGGGTGAGGGGCGGTCAGCACTCACGTCCATTCTGGAGCTTCAAGGGAATTGCTTTTAGTAACAGTCTCCATAGTGGGAAGGCTAAAACACACACCAGCACAGAACTGCAGCCTGAACCCCACGTCCCCGGCAGCACCAGCATTGCCAGCTCCTCAGTTTCACCCGTATCTACTTTCTCCCACTGCACTGCATCATCTTTATAATAAATCCCAGGTACCATTTCATCTGTAAGTATTTCGTTATACATTACCAAAAGATAAAAACACTATTTCCACACCTAAAATGATCAAAAGTAATTCCTTAATATCAGCTATCCAGACAATATTTTTATTTAAGTTTCTCAGTTGCTGGGTCTGTCATTCATTTTAGGTTCTTATAGTATCCAGTACTGTGCTTTTCATGTAGTAAATTTTCAGAAAATATATGTTGAAGTAATTCATGAATATAAAATATTAGTACTTTAAAAATTATATGAAACACTTTCTTGAATAAAGGAGTCTAAATAGAAACTCATAGGGGCTTCTGGCAACCCAGTGGTTAGCACTCTGTGCTTCCACTGCAGGGGCCCAGGTTCGATCTCTGCTTGGGGAACTGTGATCCCACATGCTGCATGGCACAGCCAAAAAACAGAAACCCATTCAACTTTTAACTCATTTAACTGTGTATTTGCCAGATACACAGTAAGGGTTAATGTTATCAACAAATGATTGTCATGGAAACTATTTTATATATGTGTTATATGAGAGGGATGTATAAGATATAAGCATGATTTAGCTCATTTAGTCACCATTTTCTTAAAAGCAATAAATTTGCCTTTTACTGATTTATAATTTAATTTGTATACAAAGCAACATGTTACTACAAAATTTGCCAATCTCTTTTTTTCCTCAATGGCAACTTGATGGGAGTCTTTATTATGGGTTTAAAAAAGGCAGAGGAACCAGGGATCCAATTGCCAACATCAGTTAGATCATAGAGAAAGCAGGGAAATTCCAGAAAAACATCTGCTTCTGCTTCATTGCTAAAGCCTTTGACTGTGTGGATCACAAGAAACTATGGAAAATTCTTCAAGAGATGGGATACCAGAACACCTTACCTGTCTCCTGAGAAACCTGTATGCAGGACAAGAAGCAACAATTATAACCAGACGTAGAACAACTAACTGGTTCAAAATTGGGAAAGAAATATGTCAAGGCTACATATTGTCATCCTGCTTTTTTAACTTATATGCAGAGTACATCATGCAAAATGCTGGACTGGATGAAGCACAAGCTGGAATCAAGACTGTCGGGAGAAATATCACCACCCTCAGCTCTGCAGGTGATACCGCTCTGATGGCAGAATGTGAAGAGGAGCTAAAGAGCCCGTTGATGAGGGTGAGAGAGAAGAGTGAAAAAGCTGTTTTGAAATGCAACATTCAAAAAACAAAGGTCATGGCATCTGATCCCATCACTTCATGGGTAATAGAAAGGGAAAAAGTGGAAACAGAGACAGATTTAATTTTCTTGGGCTCCAAGATTACTGTGGACAGTGACTATAGCCATGAAATTAAGATACTTGCTCCTCAGAAGAAAGGCTATGTCACACATAGACAGCATATTAAAAACCAGAGATATAAAAAAAAATAAAAATAAAAAAATAAAATCCAGAGATATCAGTTCGCCACCATAATCAAAGCTATGGTTTTTCCAGTAGTTATGTACAATGTCAGAGTTGAACTGTAAAGAAGGCTGATTGCTGAAGAATTGATGCTTCAAATTGTGGTGCCGGAGAAGACTTTTGAGAGTCTTCCCTTGGACAGCAAGGAGATTAAACCAGTCAATCCTAAAGGAAATCAACCCTGAATACTCACTGAAATGGCTGATGCTGAAGTTCCAATAGTTTGGCCACCTGATGGGAAGAGCCAACTCATTGGAAAAGACCCTGATGCTGGGAAAGATTGAGGGCAAGAGGAGAAGTGGGTGGCAGAGGATGAGATGGTTGGATGGCACCACCGACTCAATAGACGTGAATTTGAGCAAACTTCAGGAGATCGTGGAGGACAGAGAAGCCTGGCGTGCTGCAGTCGATTGGGTCCACAAACAGTCGGACATGACTTAGCAACCAAACAGCAGCAAATATGTTAGTATAATCCTGCAAAGCACAGCCAAAATATTTAGGAAGAGGAAACTCTTGAATTTGTTAAAAATTATATAATTGGAATAATTGTTCTTTGAGGATTTCCTGTGGTTTCTCCTGCCACAAAATAATAAGTTATACACGGTTAAGAAATTAGATCAGATTTGAGGAATTACCTGCTTTTTAATGTCATCCATGCGATGCTGCTCAAGATGAGAGGGGACTGGTGGAGTGAATGCTGAGGTGTGTTTGTTCTTGCTCCACAGCTTTAACTCTACTGAAGTCTCCCCAGAGCAGAGATCATGTGGCAGCTGGGCCTGAGTTCTTTCTGGGGTCTATCTTGATGAGGAGTCTATGATGCATAGGTCCTCATCCTGCCCTGGCTTGGAGCTCTCCATGGTTCTGACCCCCAGAATCAAGGCTGCCCTCTGCAACGTGGCCTGAAATCTGCTGCACCCCCCACCCCCACTCCAGCTGCAGAGTCCTGGCCAGGACTGGTACATGCTCAGGACATGGGAGTGTCAAAATGCTATCCAGAGGGCAGACCTAACCATCCTGTCTTACCATTTTCCCACAGAGGAGACTTACATTACTTGTACACTCAATGTGCTCTTCTTGATGTCTTTCAGACAGAAACAGCCTCCGCCAGACAAGAAACCCTCAAGAGTATTTTGCCATGGATGTAGAAGATGAAGAAAACATGAGTAAGATCCAGGCCTATCCTGTAGTGTCAAGTGGCTCATTTTTCTATTAAAATCTTAGTGTTGTAAATTTATGCAGTGGGACTGATTTGGGGAGGGTGGTTTTTTTTTCCTTTGATACAGCCTGTTCACAGTGGCATGTGTTTAATTTTCATATATTCTCTACAGTAGGTCTCGGAGTCTGCTGTGGGCGTTTTCCTTATAGCGGTTTGTCTGAATTTTTATTCTTCTTTTCGCCCTGAGGCCCCAGTGCATATGGCTGAAAGGAGGGGCCCAGCCTCCAGGCACACACGCCATAAAGCCGCATGCTTTGTGTCCCTGCATGCTTCTCGTAACAATGGCCCTGATTTCCGTCTGTGTAAATCTAAGGTGGCCTCTGAGATTGGCCGTGTAGGTGACAGTGCCTAGAATCTTCAGATGCAGTGGGCTGTCCTGCACTTTGAAGGAAGGGCTCACCTGAGTCTCTTGGTCTTGTTTGATGAGCCTCGGGGCTGGAGCTGGCTGAAGCCCCTCCTCAATGCCCTCCCTGGACCTTGGCCCCACCCTTGACACTATTACCTGTAAAGGGTCAGTGGACACACCTCTCTCTTCTGTTAGTTGCTGATCCCGGGCAGCAGAGCCGTTAGATCAGGTTGAATGTTCCCACAGAGGCTGGGAGTGTTCTGTAGGGAGGTCACAGCAGAGACCTGAGAGTTCTGGTGTGTGTAGTGTGTGCCCTTCCCTGTTACCTGTGTGTGCTGAGGTGTCCCTGGAAGAGCCCGCAGGTGTCAGGGATGAACGGTCACTCAGGATGAGGACACACCTCAGCCCAGTGTCCTGCAGCCTCACCCAAAGCCTGTACCCGAGGCACTGGGGCTGTCACGTCTGCCCACAAAATCCAGGCCTCTGTCCCCGAGAGTAGTGGGTACCGTGGGTTGCTGGGTTTCTGCCGGGTGACCCTGCAATTGTGTGCCCTCATGTGAGAGGCCACCCCTGGGACACTGGCATGAGAAGTCGTGACCAGGTATGGTTTCAGGCCACGTGGCAACGCCTCCTCTCGTGGCGTGGGTGCGGCCTCTGGTTGCCTGCACTTTCTCCAGGCTGCTGCCCCAGCAGTCACTCTTGGGGGGCTTTGGGGCCAACCCACCCCTGGGACACTGGCATGAGAAGTCGTGACCAGGTATGGTTTCAGGCCACGTGGCAACGCCTCCTCTCGTGGCGTGAGTGCGGCCTCTGGTTGCCTGCACTTTCTCCAGGCTGCTGCCCCAGCAGTCACTCTTGGGGGGCTTTGGGGCCAACCCACTCCCCACACCCACTGTCACCCATGCAGCCCTCCCCCTGCCATCAGGACTGTGAGCTGTCGTCCACGGTGCTGACTGTCGGGTTTGGGAGAAAGTTTCTCAATGCTGTGGGTTATGTAACTGTCCCCAGACTGCTCTGGGGGTCAGTTACCAGATAAAGAGTCCTTCTGAATACGTTTTCTGGAAAGATAAGCTGCTGGTTCTAGTGCTGAAACTGAAATGCCAGTCCCATATTTTTCTGTCATTTTGAAAGCAATGAAACATTTTTATCATGATTAGTATTCACATTTATGAAATAAAATAGCATGATATGGAAATAGAAAGCATCTATTTAAGAAGAGTTGTCAGGGTGGGATGTCTTCTTGCAGTTCTAGTGTTATATTTGCCTTTATGTAGAAGCATTTTTAGCAAAGTAGAGCATGAGTAGTATTTCCAAGCTTCTGAAGCACATGAGAATGTAGAATTCATGTGAACTGAAGCACATAAGTATGTAGAATTCATGTGAACTGAAGCACATAAGTATGTAGAATTTATGTGAACTCTCTTGTAGAAAGTGTATTTTTCTATAATTAACACTATTTTTACTTCTTCAAGGAAAGCACTGGTTTCAGAGAGTATGAACGTTTGATTAAATGCATGTCAGAATGTTTATCATGACTTGACTTCTTTACTGATCATTCTGTTTAGCAGTAACATGAGAAAGTACGCAGCCATGCCGTGTGTCATGTTCTCGCTCACTTGTTCATCTAAACTCTGTCTCGCTCTGCCCTCTCTAACCTTCTGTTTCCTTTGAGCACCGAAAGGAGTAACCTATTGAGCTTTTGCTGGAGGATGTTATAAATGAAAATTTAGTGTTCATTCCGTCAGCTTTGTCAACTGGGAGAAGTGGTGTGTGCGTCAGTTGTGCCTGGGAGACAGTGAGTCATAGGAAGGCTTGAAAAGTGAAAGTGGAGTCGCTCAGTCATGTCCAGCTCCTTGTGACCCCATGGACTCTAGCCTNTCAGTCATGTCCAGCTCCTTGCGACCCCATGGACTCTAGCCTGCCAGGCTCCTCCACCCATGAGATTTTCCAGGCAAGAATCCTGGAGTGGGTTGCCGTTTCCTTCACCAGGGGATCTTCCCAACCCAGGGATCAAACCCTGGTCTCCCACACCGCAGGCAGACTCTTTACTGTCTGAGCCACCAGGGGATGCTTAGCAGTGTCCTAATCTCAGCCAGCGGAGATAGAGTGAGTCTCCCTGTGGCTGTGTTTGCATCAGCACCATTCTCGCATCTCGGTGAGGATGGCAGCCCGGGAGCCTGGGAGCTTGAACTGTAGGCACTGGCAGCCCGGGACCCAGACTGCTGCCGAGTGAAGTGCCTTGCATGCGTCCAGCTGGCGAAGGTCTTTATGGCCATGCTCAGCCTCCTTAGCGTGGTCAGAGTCTACTTTCACGTTACATAATAAAAATGGCCCCCTTAGCATAGTCAGAATCTTCTTTCACATTAAACAGTAGAGTTGGAGCAGGGGCCACCTAATGGGGCACCTGTAAACCAGCTTATGATTGTGAGCAATAGTCCATTGCTGAAAACACTTGTGGATTCTCAAAAGGTAGCAGTAGGGCTTTAAGTACACTCATATCAACAGTATTGTAAAGCCCGGTGGTCATTAACCTTGTGCTTCCTGCAGCCAGTGGCCTATGCAAGCTGACCAGGAAAACAAGAAGTTACTGCTTTTTCTCTTTTCCAAAAAGCTTGATACACTTAAAGGGAAGAGTGAGTGCTTTTTTATTCCCATTTTTAAAAAATTAAAATCATATTCATTTTGCCATGAACTTTTAGAGTTCTAAAATTATATTTATTAGTTGTAAAAATAAACTACCTTTAAAAGGTACTATAACCAAATTATTTTGTAATTCCATCAAATATTTGTTTTTCTAAAAAAGAGCACATTGCCAGCCTCAGGAAAGTTAGGAAGCTGTGGCCACCACTAGCAATGTCAGTCTTCATGTCTGGCCTTATATGTTTTTTTCTATCATGGGGTGTATTAAGGATTCAGAGGCAAATCGGTCCCCATAACATATTGAAAAAATGTTAACTGAGCACCAGAAGAAGAAGCTGTGTCCTTCAAAATAATTTCTAAAAGGCCAGAACACTTTACATAAACAGTTTTCTAAGACTTATCCATGAACCAAATCAAACAACTGCACATATTAATTGAATATTTTAAACCAGAAAAACTAAGTGACTTGTGAATGTGTATTTTAAATCATGTTTTCTCTTCTGGAAAGGCTGCAGTTGAAAGCCCAATATGGGTGTGGTATAAGAAACAGCCTTGAAAAGGAGGAAATGCGAGAATAAAAGGCACTTTGTTGATACTGATGTTAGATTATTAATGTAAGGTCTTCTTGGATTAGTTTATTCCACATTTTGAGAAACTTGAGTAGATAACTTTAGATGCTTCAGAATATTCTCATAGAAAAAGACGATTTAAAGATTCACCTTTTGATGCAAAAGCAGTCGTTGATACTGAATAGAAACAGGATTAGCCATTATTTAGCAGAACATCAAATTGCTCGTTCTAGTGTAGGCGGATAGTCCTGTGGTTAAAAGTACAGCCAGGAATAAGATGTATAAGCACACATCACTTAACCAGTTACAAAGAGAGATAAAGGAATCTATAAATTTTGCATTTACAAGATCCTGCAACGAAGGCGTTGTAAGTTACTCTTTCTGGGCACCGCAGGTTCGAGCAGCACAGATGTTAAGGAAAACTGCAATATGGACGGCGCGCCCCCCAAGGACGGCAGCGCCCCAGGGCCTGGCGAGGGTGTCCCGCTCTCCAACGGGGGCAGCGGGGGCACCAGCAGGAAGCGGGCCCTGGATGAGGGCAGCAACGGCCATGCCAAGTTCCGCCTGAAGAAGCGGAGGAGGGCGCCGGGGCCAGCACTGCCCAAGAACGCGCTGATGCAGCTGAACGAGATCAAGCCCGGTCTGCAGTACACGCTGCTGTCGCAGACGGGGCCAGTACATGCGCCCCTTTTCCTCATGTCTGTCGAGGTCAATGGGCAGGTGTTTGAGGGCTCCGGCCCCACGAAGAAGAAGGCCAAGCTGCACGCGGCTGAGAAGGCCCTGCGCTCATTTGTCCAGTTCCCCAACGCGTCCGAGGCCCACCTGGCCATGGGCCGCAGCCTGTCTACCAACGCGGACTTTACGTCTGACCAGGCCGACTTCCCTGACGCGCTCTTCAACGGCTTCGAGACGCCCGACAGGTCGGAGGTGCCCTTCTACCTGGGCTCCAATGGCGACGATTCCTTCAGCTCCAGCGGGGACCTCAGCCTGGCCGCATCCCCGGCGCCCGCCGGCCTGGCCCAGCCGCCCCTGCCTGGGCCCCCGCCTTTCCCGCCGCCCAGCGGGAAGAACCCCGTGATGATCTTGAATGAGCTGCGCCCGGGACTCAAGTACGACTTCCTCTCAGAGAGTGGGGAGAGCCACGCCAAGAACTTCGTCATGTCCGTGGTTGTGGACGGCCAGTTCTTTGAAGGCTCTGGGAGGAACAAAAAGCTGGCCAAGGCCCGGGCCGCGCAGTCCGCCCTGGCGACTATCTTTAACTTGCACTTGGATCAAACCCCATCTCGCCAGCCCATCCCCAGCGAGGGCCTGCAGCTGCATCTGCCGCAGGTGAGGAGAGCCGCTGAGCGCCGTGTGTGGCTAACGCTCTGAGACAAGGTGTGGTTGTCGGGGTCACTCTTTCTCTACCACCCTGTCCCCAGCAGAGAGAGAGCTCCTGTAAGCCAGGCCAGGTGGCCTTCCCTTTACTATGCTGGCTGTGTGGTCACGGGGAGCCCAGCTGAAGCCAACGCCGACAGGTGCTCTGTGGTCAGTGCTGCCCACCGTAGGCAGGCCGAGGTGCGCTCACCTTCTTGCCCACCCTGTGGCGACCACACCCCGCAGAGCCTGTCTCAGAGGAGCAGGGAGGGCAGGAGAGGGGCCAGAGCCCTGCGCCTGTCACAGCTCAGCGGTCTCTTCCCTCCACGGCTCACATGGATCCCCAGATGCAGGAGAGGTGAGGCCGGCCGGTCAGCAGCTGAAACCCAAGTTGGGGTCAAGGTACCAGGGCCTTGTGAAGCGTGTCCAGGCAGAGGCCAAGCCTCCACAGTGGTGAGCACGTGTCAGGAGAGCTGGGGCGTCAGGGCCTCGACGAGTGCTCCAGAGCCCCAGGGTCCCAGGGCTCTCTGCACCTGGAGTCCCCGTGGGGTCCCTACAGCTCTGCCTGCTCAGCCACAGGTGGGCACTGCTTTTAGTTTGGCCTTGGACAGGGCACGGAGCAGGAAAATCAGGTGAAGAGGGGAGGGGTCATCTCAGGGTGAGGGGGGGTCATCTCAGGTGAGGGAGGGGTCATCCTGATCAGGGTGAGGGAGGGGTCATCTCAGGGTGAGGAGAGGGTCATCTCAGGGTGAGGGGGGGTCATCTCAGGGTGAGGGAGGGGTCATCTCAGGGTGAGGGGGGGTCATCTCAGGTGAGGGAGGGGTCATCCTGATCAGGGTGAGGGAGGAGTCATCTCAGGGTGAGGAGAGGGGTCATCTCAGGGTGAGGAGAGGGGTCATCTCAGGGTGAGGAGAGGGGTCATCTCAGGGTGAGGGGGGGTCATCTCAGGTGAGGGAGGGGTCATCTCAAGTGAGGGAGGGGTCATCTCAAGTGAGGGAGGGGTCATCTCAGGGTGAGGAGAGAGGACATTTCAGCATGAAGAGAAGGGACATTTCAGGGTTAAGGGTGATGTCATCTCACAAGAAGGTGAGGGGTCATCTCAGGGTGAAGAGGGGACATTCCAGGGGGGCCTCTGAGGAGAGTGAAGGAGAAAGAAATGCTTAGGTATTTCAACACCCTAAAACTGTTTGGTTATTTATTGCTTCTTTTCATGGAAATCCAACATCTTTCTGGTCTGTCGTGAAGATGTTTATTTCAGGGAGAAAGTCTCACTATGTTTTCTAATCCTTTCTATCATCGTAAGATTCAGTTTGAGGATAAAATACACATTGATGTGATGAGAAGGTATGGAGGAGCCCAGATTGACAGGCCAGCCTGCGCTCCCCCAGGAAAACCCACGCCCATCCTGCCCTTGGGGGACCCTTGAGGACCAATAGTTCTCAACTGTGAAAGAAGGAACTTTATTATTTTTATTTTGCTTAAAGCAACCAAAACAGCATCAATGTAAAGTAATATATTCAAAGTATATTACTGTTTTTTTTTTTAATGAGCCAAGTAACTGCTTCCCTTATTAGCCACTTGTTATATGATTTATAAGGACTATTGGTCCATTTATCGTTGCACACGTTGGGGCACCAGTTCTCGAGGGACTTTGTTTCAAGTTGACTATTTGATGCAGTCTTTTAGCTGAGGTTCATCCATGCTGTGGTTGCGGTGACTCCTGATATGCGCTTTTTTTCCTAGTGTCAGCAGTCGTGTAAAGAGACTGGGGTCATCGAAAGCTGCCTGGGAGTCACCTGTGGGGGGAGGGATGAGTGTGCATGCGTGCGTGTGCACTGGCGGCCTGCTTCTGTCCTGGCCGTGACAGCAGCGGGGAGCAGTGACTAGAGCTGCTGGCTTGGGAGGGGCCTCATCAGCCCTGCCCACTGCTGTGGTGGCCTAGGTCAGCCGGGTCTGGGGAGGTGAACTGTCTCCTCCCCATCCCCCACTGCTTCCAGGGGCCCCAGGGCGGCTCCCTGCCCTCAAGTGGTGCCCAAGGATGCAGTCATGCTCTCCTCGGAGGACCTGTGGGCGGCCTTCAGAGAGTCGGTCCTCTTAGCATCATTTCTGGACTCGATGGTCTTTTCCAGACATACATTCTGGGAGGGAGGTGTCTTGCTGTCTTCCTGGGGTCACCCTGAAGGATCTGGGGAGGCCGTCCCTGGTCCCAGGGACTTGTTGCTTCCATGTTGCCTTCATGCGGCACTGAGAGATTAAAGTCCGATGGTACTGCCCACATGGTGAGCGCAGGGCTATCCATGAACTTGATGGACGTGGCCCAAACAAGGCGTCCCAGGAGTCCACCCAGTCCCCACTGACTGTGAGAGCCCCAAAGCTGGAGGGAGGGGCTTCATGCCAGCGTGTCGGGGGGATGGTGGGTGGGGGACTGCCCAGGCAGAGGCGTGGCGGCAGCCCAGACTCTGTCAGCCCGGCTGGAGCTCCTAACCCTGTAGGGGGGCCGCTGTCTCCTCTTGCTCACATTCCCTCCACTTCTGGCCCTGTCCACAGTCTTGCTGCCTTTCTTGCACTCACCCATGACCTTGTTCCTCTTCCGAGGGTGCAGGGTGGGGTCCTGGCCCTGTCCCCACTCTCCTGTTCCCCTCCTACTCAGCCGTGAGCACCATCTTCTGGGGCTCGTTGCTGGTGTGGGGATGGGACAATGTCCTGACGACTGTTCTTTCCGGATAAGCTGCCACTGAGGATGATGGCTCTTCTGTCCATTCAGGAGTGTTTCACTGAGGGCTTAGCTGGGGACTCGAGACAAGTGTGAGCTGCTGGGACATGGGTGACTTCTTGCACCCCCTCCCATCAAGCATTGTTCCCAGAACACAGGGGGTCCCTCAGTCCATGCTGTAGAAGAAGGCCCAGGTCCACACTCTGGAAGCCGTTTGCTCCCAAGAACAGTGCTGTACGCTCCCCAGACGTGACCAGCAGTCGCTGTGCACAGTGGCCCTGCAGCCTTCCCGTCATCCCAGCTAGGGGGCAGAGACCTCGCTTATGGGGCTCAGAGCGGTGCTGCTCGCTGGTCTCAGATGCGGAAGTAACAGGCACAGTTGGACTGGTGCCTTGGGAGGGAGGTGCTGAGATATGATTTCCCTTCTGACTCCCCTTTCCTTCCTGAGTGTCCCCTGCAGGGCCGTTCTGGCTTCTGCCCTGAGGTGATCGGTCGGTCCCTCCTGTGGTCTTACTTCCTCCAGAAGCCCTAGTGCTTGGGGAGTGTGGCTGCAGGACTCAGAGCTCTGGTTCCAAGCCACAGAGAGAAGCAGGTGACCTTGCTGCCCTGGGCCTGGGGTCCCCCTGGAGACAGGGCTGGGATGGGAGGCCTTAGCTGCTCCCACGTGGCTGGGCTCCTACCAGCCTGTCTGTAGAGACCCTCCTATGCCCCTTGGATGCCTGTTTCCAAGAAATGTCTTGGAGGAAAAACTGTGTGCATGCATGCATGCATGTGCTGATTTGCCAGACCTGCCATGTGGCTCAGAGAAGAGGCCCCAGAACGTAACCCCAGAGGGCGCTGACCCCCTCTTGGTCCTCAGGTCCTGGCCGATGCCGTGGCCCGCCTGGTGCTGGATAAGTTTGGGGACCTGACAGACAGCTTCGCCTCCCCCCACGCGCGCAGGAAGGTCCTTGCTGGAATCGTCATGACAACAGGTAACCATGTCGGTGTGTGTCCACTGCGTATTCTCATGCTTAATGAAGAAGACCCACTCTCAGTCTACAGAAGTCTCTGACAGCAGCAGGAGGCTACTTTTTCATTCTCCTTCAGAATGTATGCTGTGTGCAACTGGAGGAGCTGCACTTATGTTTCTTCCCCCACCATTTCATCTGTTTAACCTGAGTGTTTTGTTTGGAGGAAGCGTCCTGTATTAGTATTTGATTCCAGTAATCTTATATGAATCATCTTGAGCAAGTCTTGGAAATGCAGGAAACCTGTTGGTTTTTGCTTCACTGAGAGTAGCCGTCTCTGGTATGTCAGTTCATGTCACTGTTGCCAGATAACCCTTCCCTGCGAGAGGAGGCTTCTATAAGCATAGGGAGTCTGTGGGGGAAACACGCTCAGGGATGGCAACAGAAACCCGGCTAAATTTGCCCCTAAGTTCCCAGCTGTGAAGGGGTCCCTCCCCAAGTCCTCTTCCACCTCCCAGGAGTGAGCCGCCTGAGCAGCATCCACAGGGACCCCTCCTGGGAGCAGGAACCACAACCACGGCCAGTGCCTGCGTCCCTGGGGCGGCCGGAGGACCTTCGGCTCCTGGGGGCTGGGGCTGGGGCTGTCTCGGGGCCCTCTCTTCCTGGAGTATCTGCTCAGCCCAGCTGGCTGAGCTGATTCCTGGAGAGGAATCACGAGATGGTTTCTCCTCTGTTCCAGGCACAGATGTGAAGGATGCCAAGGTGATCAGCATCTCCACGGGAACAAAGTGCATCAATGGCGAGTACATGAGTGACCGTGGGCTCGCACTCAACGACTGCCACGCGGAGATCATAGCCCGCAGATCCCTGCTGAGGTTTCTCTACACACAGCTTGAGCTTTACTTAAAGTGAGTGTCTGAGGAAATGGGTGAAGGAAGCTGTTTTCCATAAAAAAAATTTTCCTCCAATCAAAGTGTATTGCATCCTTTTCACTGTGTCTGTCATCACTGAAAAATTCTCAATGTAGTAACTTTCTGGGTTACAGTTTGGGATCCCTTTTGCTCTTGAAGCTCAGGCTGTCAAGTAGAGTTGGCTGAGTTATATAACTCACATGCCCACATACATACCCGCCATGCGTGCAGTCAGAGGGGTCATGTCTGTGTTCCAGACCCCAGGCTTTTGCTTTATACAGAAATAAGTGCTGGGGAGGTCACCATGCCCAGATGGCTGACTGTTGAGTCTGACTGCTTCCTGCAGCAGGCCATGTCCTACTCGCAGCCTTTCTGTTCTGAAGTTGTGAATGAGGAGAACAGGGTCACTTGTGTGCTGATGACCTATCTCATTGGTGAGCGGATGGGAGCCGTGCTAATTATCATAAACATGTCAAGTAAATACCCCAGTGCAAGCTTATCTTACCCTGTTGAAAACACTGGCCTTTGAAAATCACCATAAGCTATGAGAGACTGAGTTTTGATTGTGTTCAGCTTTAAGATTTATCTTTGCAACTTACTCCTTTCAGTAGCAAAGATGATCAAAAGAGATCCATCTTTGAGAAGTCTGAGCGGGGCGGCTTCAAGCTGAAAGAGAATGTCCAGTTCCACCTGTACATCAGCACCTCCCCCTGCGGGGACGCCAGGATCTTCTCACCACACGAACCCATCCTGGAAGGTACCACGCCAGGCTCGGCGGCAGCCACTGCTTCCCAAGAAAGTTCATGACTGTGTTGTAACAGAGAAAAGGACAAACCTGTATTAATATCGTTTCTTCTTCAAAAATTTCAACCTTGGATGTGAATCTGATAAGAATGTATAAAAACATGAACTTTTCTTCTCAATTAGTAATTTTAAATTTTTAATGAATGAAAATGTAGATTCAAATAAGAAATTAGAGTGAGGATATTAAATCAAAATTGTGATCAGATTTTGAATTTGGATGACATGCATCTCTAGATTGGAAATGCACGTCGTGGTCCGTGTTTCTGGTAGGTTGTGATATCACGAGAGTGTGACCGAGTCTCAGAAGCAGGTGTCGATGGACAGGAAGGCCTCGCTCTGACCTCCGTGTTCCTCTCATTCTTGTTCGTGCTCTTGTTTCATAGTAACTTGTATCCACAACTCTACTTATGAGCTTAAGCACTATTTGTTCCAAATAGAACATTTGATTACATTATTTTTCTTGATTATAAAAGCAACAGGTGGGGACTTCCCTCATGACCCAGTTGGCTAAGACTTCTCACTCCCAATGCAGGGGGCCTGGGTTCGATCCTAATCAGGGAACTAGATCCCACATGTTGCGATTAAAGATCCCATGTGCTGCAACCAAGATCTAAGACCCTGCAGTCCACAAAGAAGACCCAGCCCAGATAAATAAATAGATAGATAAAAATTTTTAAAAAGAAAAAACAAAATTGTAAAAAAAAAATAAAAAGCAGCAAGTATGCACTGTAGAAATTGACAAATATTTTTAAAACATAAAAATAACATTTAAATCACTGTATTCATGTAAAAAAATCTCTGGGTGTTTGTGAATGTTTCCTATGGGTTTATTTCCACATCCCTATAGATTTATTTTTGAAAATTTAAATATGCAGCAAAGAAATATAGCAAATACTCTAATATCCATTACCTAGAATTAGCAAATGTCAGCCTTGTGTTCTGTCTGCGTTAGCTAATTTCTAATCCTAGAAATACATCATTTGGTTAAAGTGGAGGCCCTCTTTTCTCCCAGCCACCAAGGAAACCATTTTTGTGAATTTGGTTTGTATTGTATCCTCCTGTCCAATTTTTTGTGCTTGCATCAAACACACATACATGTCTTAGGTGCATGTAGAATGAACACATGCACACATGCGTGTGAATCGCATTTTGAATTGATAGAGTGTTGTTAGACATGCTTTCTGGTGAGTTAAATAGATGGTTGACCAGCAGACCCTCTCAAGAGGACCTTGTGTCTCTGTCTTAGAGCCAGCAGATAGACATCCAAATCGAAAAGCCCGTGGACAGCTGCGGACGAAGATAGAGTCTGGTGAGGGGACCATCCCCGTTCGCTCCAACGCCAGCGTCCAGACATGGGACGGGGTGCTGCAGGGGGAGCGGCTGCTCACCATGTCCTGCAGTGACAAGATGGCAAGGTAAGTCCCCTTGGATGTACACCTGGGCCCGCCCCCACCCCTGCATGCCTGGGGGCCCCGGAGTGTTTCCAGAGACACCGGGCATGTGTCCCACAGATTCACTGAAGGACTCAGGTTTTAAAAGGTGCTTCAGGGGCCACCTTGAGAAGAGAGGTGCGGTCTCTGTGGACAGAGGCTCTGGAGCCAGGTCCTTTTGAGTTTTTATGGAGGCTTCACTACAAATGCACCATTGATTAAAATCATGGCTGTTGGTATGGGAACTCAGCCTCCAGCCAGTGTCTTCTTACCGGGAGGTCAAGAAGATAAGGCTGAAAGTTCCCACCGTATGTAATCAGTATTTGGCTCCACAGCCAACTAGCCCCCCATCCTCAGGTGGGTGACACAATCTACCTCATTAACATAGACACCTATGGTTAATCACTTAGGAAGTTCCCAGGGCCTAGGAGCTGTGAGCCAGGAACCCCAGAAGAAGACCAAACATATATAAGAAAAATGTATTTCTGATCGTCTGAATGACCAGGTGTACTTTTCTGATAAATCACGAGATGGGTTCCTGTAGCTTCATAGTAGGTCTTGAGGTCAGGTGGTCAGTCCTCCAGCTTTGTTCTCCTGTGTTGTATAGGCTCTTCTGGGCCTTCTGCCCCTTGATGTAAGCTTCGGAATCCATTTGTCAGCATCTGCGGAACGCTGTGCTAGAGTCTTGATGGGTTTGTGCTGAGTCTGCAGCTCAGGTTGGGAAGAGTCGAGTCTTCCTCTCCATGAACATGGGCTGTCTCTCCATTTACTTAATTCTTTGATTCTTTTGTCAGTTTTATAGTTTTCCTTGTAGCGGTCTTGTATTTTTGTTAGATTTGTATCTAAATATTTAATTTTGGGAGGTGTTAATGTGAACGGTGTTGTGTTTTAAACTTCAAGTCCCACAAGTTCACTGTTGGTCACAGCTGATTTTTGATCAAGGTTCAAAGCCAGTTCAGTAGAGAAAGAATAGTGTTGTTAACAAATGATGCTGGGACAACTGAACACCCTATGTAAAAAGAAACAAGTGTGCTTCCTATTTTTCACCATATACAAAAGTTAACTGAAAATGTGTCATAGACCTAAATGTGTAAAAGTTTTAGAAGAGGAGAAAATCCTGGCCTCTGGGATGGGTTATGTCTTAGATGCAACATCAGAAGCACGCTCCTTGAGAGGAAAAAAAATGGTGTTAGACATAATCAAATTAAAAATTGCTTCTCTGAAAGACTCTGTTAAAAGAATGATAAATAAAGTCACTGACTAGAAGAAAATATTTACACATCGTACATCTGATAAAGGACCTAGATCCACACTATACAAAGACTTTTAAAACCAACAAGGGGGAAAAAAACTGTTTTTAAAATGGGCAAAATATTTTAATGGACACTTTACCAAAAAAGATGTCCTAAGAGAGCACATTCTTCACTCCAGGGTTAGAGCCCTGTCGGGTATGGTGGGGACCCCAATCCCTGGAGCGTTGTCCTCCCAGGCTGGGGACAGACACTGCAGCCCACTGTGAGGACAGCTCACCTGTGTCTTAGATGTTAAAGGCATTTCTGGCATTTCACTTTACTCCTGTTTCTGGAGAGAGATGGAAGCACTGTCCATGCAGGCTCACACTGGAGTGATTGAAGCTGCTTCTCCACATCTGGGAACAGCTCGAACGGCTGTCAGTCTTTAAACAGGGTTAAATGGGAGTATCTGTGCCTTGGGGCACTGCTCAGGCAAGGGACAGAATAAGCTGTGATGTTTAGTCAGTGGTATGTGGTCACAGCACAGAAGAACTGTGCAGCCATGCCAGGAACCAAAGGAGTGCTTACCATGTGATTCCATTGCTGTAGATTTCTAGAAAGTGACAGAAGCAGGTCAGTGGTGGCTCAGGGATGGGGCAGAGCAGGAAGGGCAGGAAGGCCTGGAGTAAGACGGGAGGAGACTAGAGGGTTGGGGGTGGGGGTTTGGTTGTGGTTTAGTTGCTAAGTCATGTCTGACTCTTTGCAACCCCGTGGACTGGTGACAACCCCACCAGGCTCCTCTGTCCATCGGATTCTCCAGGCAAGAATACTGGAGTGGGTTGCCATTTCCTTCTCCAGGGGATCTTCCCGGCCCAGGAGGGTGTTTGCATGCCAGGACTCCCCAAATTCTGTGCTCTAACCCCAGGCAGGGCACTGTATGTCCATCAAGCCTCAGCAGCTCACAGAAGCAATTGCAGGGGAAGTAAGGAGATGGTCGTAAGTGAACGACATCAAACACCACAGCCGAGAGCAAGAGAGCAAGTCCAAATTCGCAGACGGGAGGGAAGGACAGAGAGCAGACGTTAGTGCTCGATGCGGCAGCGATGAGCAGCGAACAGTCAGAATCCCAGGGTGCTACTTTGAGAAAGGTAATAAATTGGCAGACCTCTGGAAGTCTGACCGAGACACAGGGTGCAGCCAGGCCAAGTCAGGGGAGGAGGAAAGGGTGTCAGGATCTAGTAGGAACGGACACGTGCGCAGATGACCGCAGTGAGAGTTACGGACACCATTGAAACTGAGATGACATAGAAGCTTTGTAGAAACATGTATGTTCCTAAAATTGACTCAAGCATGTGTAAGAAATTTGAATGGAGTTCCAAACATTAAGAAAAAGTAAACCAGTCACGCCCTCACTCCCAAGAAGTAAATAAATTGGGGAAAATCAAAGAGGTGGCTGCAGAGAAAGAGGATGCAGCTCTTGCAGGAGACTCTTGAGTGAGTTCTCTGCATTCTGGGGAGATATCCTCTTCATACATACAGTCATTTTTACAGATCAGGAATGTGGGGAAGGGCCCCAGCTCATCCCTTATCCCCAGACCAAGCCAGGAAGGGAAACAAAATGACAAGCCGTCCACTAATCTAAAACATCCACATATATGCCACATCCAACATTATTTCTAGTAGCTTGATTTACTTCCCAATCTGTAACTTCGATCAAAATCTCATCATTTTTCATAGCACTTGACACTCAAGTGGAAAAGTAAGCCCATCTCGCTGAGTGGTTATAACCAGGCAGCAGGGTGTGGCGGAGGACACTCCCAGCCCTGTCCTCTGGGGTCTCCATGCAGATGATTGAATCCTTGGTCTTTGGTGATTAATTCAAACCCGGAAGCGGGGGCGGGGCTGAGCTCACACCCTCTGATCTTTGGTGCCCCTAGAGGGCTGCTCCTGCCTCTGGCAGTCACATGGTCACCATGAACAGGGTCTTGGGGGCTGGCCTGGGTCTCACAGAGGGCAGGGCTGCCTCCCACAGACGGTTCCGGTCCCAGAGGGGTCAGGGCAGTGGGCAGGCTTCAGTGAGACCACGGTGGGGGGGTGGTAGTGAGGGGTCCCGGGGGCTCTCACCTCTGGCTGAATTTGGTTGACTGGGCCGTGGGAGGGAGTAGGACAGCCTGTGCTCCGCGCAGAGCTGGGGAGGAAGCAGAGACCACCTGCCTGAGGGCAGCAGTGTGCGCGACCATTCAGAGCCCTGTCCCCCCCCCCACTGCCTCCTCTCCCTCCCCCAGACACAGAGGGGGCTGGGGGCATTGACTGTGAGCCCCCCTGTCGTGGGGAGGCTGTGGGGTCACAGGGACAGCCAGTTTTCAGAGGTGGTTGCTGGGGGCGGTGGGCTTGTACGACGCACACCCCATGCATGTTTGCTGCTGGTAAAGTCGGCCCCTCCGTGTTCCCCGTGAGGCTCGACCAGGGGAGCTGAGCCGAGTGGGTGGACCACTTCCCACCAGGGCCTCCGTGGAGCAATCGGGGCCTAGGATTCGCTTGCGAAGCATGTGTTCAGAATTAATGACTTGTAACTCGTATAGGTTTCTGCAAGAGCAGGGTTTTGAAGTTTGCCCCAGGAGGCTGAATTCAGCTTAATGGGGCCTAAACCCCCTGACAAGCCCCTGATTTACATAAGAAAGGGCTCCCTGTGGGTTTTGTGCGCACTGAATCCTTCCTTACAGTTCCTTGCTAGATAGGAGAAAACCTGTGCTCTAATTTCCTTCTTAGAGGGTGGGGGGAGCCGGGAATTTGTCCAGTCAGCACACACTGCGCTGTGAGGCCAGGTCCCTAAATGCTGGGATGTTTTAGTGTGCTAAACAGACGAATCCCTCCCGCGTGGAGCCTGTTGATGGGAGAAGGTGGGGGACAGATGGTAAGATCTGCAGGGGTTCAGCAGAGGGGGCACCTGGTGGGCTCCAGTGACAGCTGAGGGGGGGTGCCCAGAGACGAGGACTTTGCACAGACCAAGGTGGGGGTACTGGGGACCCTTGGCTGAGGGCTGGAGCTCTGCAGGGAGCAGAGGATGCCCATGCTGCTGGCCTGGGGAAGGGGTGTGAGGGAAGAGACACCTGAAGCCAGTGAGCTTTGCCCCCTGGGTGCTGGGACCTGGAGCCCTGAGGCCATGGAGGGCATCTCTCCTGCTGTCTGTGGGGCTCAGAGCAGTGACGTGCAGGGTCAGGACAGTCAGTGCCGCCACCAGGGAGCAGGAGGAGACCAGTTTCCATCCCTCTGGAGCTGCCGTTTTTTTTATTTATTAGAAGTAATGAAATTAAGGTTTATTTTTTCTTTAGATTTTTCTCACAAGAAACGTGGCTCGATATGTTTTTAGAACTCATCTTCGGTAAATGTGTCATCTTGGGAAATATGGAGGCAAAAGATCATTCCAGCATAAAATAATTAAGTAGATTTTTCTCTTTAGAATCTTACTTAGTCAGTTATTTAGTGAAAGTCGCTCATCATGTCCAACTCTGCGACCCCATGGACTATGCAGTCCGTAGAATTCTCCAGGCCAGAACACTGGAGTGGATAGCCGTTCCCTTCTCCAGCAGGTCTTCCCAACCCAGGGATCGAACCCAAGTCTCCTGTGTTGTAGGCAGATTCTTAACCAGCTGAGCCACCAGGGAACCCCAGTCAGTTATTTAACTGCCTTTTAAATTGGTTAACACTTGTACGGAATGAGCAGCATGCCCACGTGAGCATGGCGCTATGGAGGGCCCAGGCCAAAGGGACCCCGTGCTGAAGGCCTCTTCCTCTGCCTCCAGGTGGAATGTGGTGGGCATCCAGGGGTCCCTGCTCAGCATCTTCGTGGAGCCCATTTACTTCTCCAGCATCATTCTGGGCAGCCTGTACCACGGGGACCACCTCTCCAGGGCCATGTACCAGCGCATCTCCAACATCGAGGACTTGCCCGCGCTGTACACCCTCAACAAGCCTCTGCTCAGCGGCAAGTACCCCCGCTTTCTGACTGCAGCAGGGCTCACGAGTAACACACCGGTGGGGGCTGCAATGAGGCGGGAGGGGTGGCGCACAGTGTTGGGCTATTTAGAAGGGGCGGAACCTCCCTCGAGGTTCCCCTCTCTTGCCAGTTGAAAACCTCGCCATTTACAGGGAAATTAGAGCCCAGGTTCGGCACCCGTGGGCTTTCCTCTCACCCGCACTCATGCTGCTGAGTCCTGCATCCACTGTAGAGGCTTGCAGGTGCCGTGAAGACTCCACAGGCCTCAGCCGCCCGAGATGATGCTGGGCCGGCCCACAGAGGATTCACGGCTGCAGTAACAAGCTCTGCAGGAGGTCGGCGATAGGACTGTGTGCCCGTGGCAGGCAGTGATGTCTGTCTCAGTGGGGACATGCACCTGCCTAGTGGGCCCTGGGTTACTGGTTGTTTATTGTTTTTCTTCTAGAATGTCAGTGGCTAGAAAAGTGAACAAGAGCTTTTGAATTCAAGGGCCCTAACTTCTCAGTTCACCTTTACTTAAAAGGACACAGTTAAGGTATTTTTATCCTTTGGAAATATCGCTTTACCTACTTTTAAAGCTAGAACTAAAACCCTAACCGTGAACTGGAATGCCTCTTGGTATGTGTGTGTTTTGCCATGGTCTGTGATCTTGCTACTAGCCCATCTCTAACTGAGAAAAGCAACGTGGAGCTTTGTTTGAAAGCATGTCTTTTAGAGCACATGGATCACATGGGAATGGAGAAAAACTTGCTCCAAATTCAATTTCACAACTCTCTACTGTAAACCGTTATCTTTTTAGGAGAAAAAAGATAAAAGTAGACTGATAAAATTTGATGGCAAGTTGAGATTGTAGCGTCCCTGCCGTTGAACTTACACTGGTAGGTGTGAAGCAGGTGTATGTGGATGTGTGTTTGCGTGTGAATCTCTCACGAGTCAGAGAACAGTTTTCCTTGTTCGGTCTGTGCTTCGTGTGTGGGGCAAGAGTGCCTTGATTCAGCCAGCTGTCACTTGTCTTGAGTGTCCGCAGCTACTGAGAGCATCATGTGTGAAACAGGTGGCGCCAGGGGCCACTCGGAGTCACCGCCGCCCAGTGCCCAGGTGGGTGGCTCCAGGTGTGTTGCTCCACCACTTGCTGAAGGAGTCCTGGGCGCTGACAGGCTTGCTCACCTGTGAAATCAGATGTGCTTTTATCACGTCGTACATGTGCAGAGTGGTCTGTATCTATGAGCACATGCTGGAAAACAGTGTTTCACCACGTATGTTTGTTAGAAACGTGAACTTACAAAGGAAGACCTGTTCTTCCTTCTTCCTCCCCAGTATTGCCCTGAAGCCCACAGACACCGTGCAGGGCGTCTTCACAGACAAAAGGATGCAAACAGGAGAAGTCTGGAGGAGAGGGTGTCCGTGTCTCAGGAACTCAGGAGGTCACACTCCTTTTAAATGGGCCCGTGGCACAGCCCTCACCTTTCTCCCAGGGAGTCCCCACAGCCAGTGAGTGGCCAGGCCCACCTGGGCTGTGCCCTCCCAGGCCTCCTGCCGTGCACACATGGTGCTCGGCTGCCTGCCTAGCAGGTCATGCCCTGTGTGTTGCTCTTTCCCACCTCATAGTTTATCGCAGGTCATCCCCATGTTGGAAGGAGAATGCCGGGTAACAGCTGTGAGGGAACGGTAGTGTCTGAAGGGAGTGAGAGAAACGGACCTGAATGCCACACAGAGAAAGGCTGAGGCGACTGAATGAGGTTCCCCGGAAACTGAAGCAAATCTGGATAGACTTATTAAAAGGTTTATCTGCAGACTGTGTTTGAAAATGGCGTCGAGGTTAAAAATGAGAATTTTACATTAACTTCAGCATGAAAAGTGTGTGTTTAAGAAAGAGGTTCACCTTCTTGGAGGTGAACCTTTGCCTTGGGCGCTCACGTGATGCACTTTCCCATCCTTCTGAACTCTCTTGTTTCTCCTTTTCAGATTAGTTTCAGATCCAGCACCTGCAAGTTCAGGGCAGTTCTGGCTCCTGACTCTCCTCCACTGGCCCCCAGGTCTGAGTTTCTCACTGGCCCTGTTTGCTGGCAGGTGCACCGAGAGAACTCAGTGAGGACGATCGAGCTGCTTGACTATCGTGGTGCCCAGGCTCCAGGGTTGTGGTCACAGCTAGGCTGCCTGGGGTCGTGGGGTGAGACCCACAGTGCCGATCTCACCGCCAACAGTGCCACCAAACAGTAACACAGAGGACGAGCGCGAGGCGGTGGGGTGAGAGCGCGGGCCTCACCTACCCCCTGAACAGAAGCACAGGAAATGGAAAATTTAATGAAGCCCCAATCAGAAATAGATGATTCAATATCTCACCTACCCCCTGAACAGAAGCACAGGAAATGGAAAATTTAATGAAGCCCCAATCAGAAATAGATGATTCAATATCTGAGGTTAAAGAGCACTCTAGAAGCCATGGATAATAGATGGAATGACACGGAAGAACACAGAAATGACCTGGAAGAGAGAGTAATGGAACTCACCTAACCAGAGCAGTGACAGAAAGACAACAAAACAAAACAAAAATGAACGGAACATACGGGATCTCTGCAGTAACATCAGATGTGCCAACATTCACGTTGTAGGAGTTTTAGAAGGAGAAGGGAGCGTAAAAAATGTCTTCAACCAAGGAAATTATGGCTGAAAACTTTTCAGACTTAAAGAAGGAAACAGATATCCAGGTACAGGAAGCACAGAAAGTCCCAAACAACATGAACCTAATCAAACCCACACCAACACATCATTAAAATGGCAAAAGCTAAAGAATTCTTAAGGCAACAAGAGAAAAACAAGGGGTCAGTTACATGAGCTTCCTGGTAAGGCTATTGGCAGCCAGAAAGGAGTATCACAGTATATTCACAGTGCTGAAGAAGAACATACAACCCAGGATACGCTTCCCAGCAAGATTATAATTTAGAATAGAAGAAAAGATGAAGAATTTCTCAGACAAGCAAAAACTAGAATTCCAGCAGTACTGAATGTACCCTAAAAGAATTATTGAAGGGCTTTCTCTAAATGGAAAAGAAGTAAGAAAATATAGGAAAGAGAAAATCCCATTAGGAAAGGCAAATATGGAGTAAGACAATCACTTAAATAATCCAGTATGTAATTAAATGACCAAAAAAATAATAAAAGCAACTATGACTATGATAAACAGTAAAGGAAAATAGATATATGCACCCCCAGTGTTCACAGCAGCACTCTTTACAATAGCTAGGGTATGGAAGCAACCTAAATGTCCATCGACAGATGGATGGATAAAGAAGATGTGGTACATGTATACAGTGGAATATTACTCAGCCATAAAAAGAATAAAGTAACGCCATTTACAGCAACATGGATGGACCTAGAGATTGTCAATACTGAGTGAAGTCAGCCAGACACAGAAAGAGACATGATGTGATATTGCTTTTTGTGGAATCCAGAAAGAAATGATACAGATGAACTTATTTACAAACCAAACAGACTCACAGACTGAGAATGAACATGTGGTTACCAAGGAGGAAGTGGGGGGAAAGGATAGTTAGGGAGTTCGGGACGGACATACACACACTGTTATGTTTAAAATGGATAACCAACAGGCACCTACTGTATAGCACAGGGAGCTCTGCTCCATATTCTGTAACAACCTAATTGGGAAAATAATTTAAAGAAGAATAGATACATGTATGTGTATTAAAAATAATGATAAGTTTAAAACAAAAAAACTATGGGGCTTTCACAGAATTCACAGAGATACATGAAATTTTATTTCCTTCCTACTCCATTATTGTAATAGTCCCCATAAAAGCTCATCTTAACAAAAGCATCTGCTAATATTTAGTGATAATTCTCTGTACTCTATTAGTTGTGTCTTTTGGGATAGGAAATTGATTATCTGACCTTAACATAGTGAAGACTTTGCAGGGATGCTGCCTTCTACCTTAGGTAGTAACTTAATTATGTAAACAGTGAAAAATAATTTAAAGTACAGGAATGTTGTAATTTGATTAGGAAAACAAAAAAATGAAAAAACTAGGTTTATTTATTTATATTTTCCATAGAAAGTTATGGATTAAAATGCTACTGTCTTAAATAATGCATTTTATAGTGAGTTTTGATATTATTTATAAGCATATTCATAAACTTTTAACAGCGAGTTGATGGGAAAAGAAGCAACACTGAATAGAGTTACATATCATAATGCCCATATTTCTGTCCAATAGCAGACATGCTTTGCAGCTTGGAACTCATAGATTATGACAATTTCCATTCGTAAAAAACAGATCAATCACAAAGAAATGGACATTTCCCCTTATTCAAACTTGGTTAATGTTTTTCACCCATTTGTCAGTTCTGAGGTGTTAGAAATTAGTGTGAACCCCTAGTATCCCTCTGAATGACAAACACTTTAATGTATATATAATCTTGATTTAACTATTTGTAAAACAGTTTATACTGTTATCAGATATAGTAAATATTCAACCATAATCGGCCAGAATAAAACAGTAAAGGGATAAACATGGAAGATGTAAAATATGATACCAAAAACACAAAATGTGGGAGAGGAGAGTATAGAATGTAGCTCTTTCAGAGTGTGTTTGAACTTAAATGACTTATCAGTGTAAATCTAGTAGATATGATTATGGGTCAAGACATGTGAACCCCAAGGTAACAACAAATCCAAAACGTACGACAGATGCACAAAAATAAAAAAGAAAGGAACAGAAGCATTGTTTTTGTTTAGTCACTCTGTCATGTCCTATTCTTTTGTGACCCCATGGATTGCAGCCATACTACTAAAGAAAATCATCAAACCTTGACAGGAGAAGCAAAAAGAAGAAGAAAAGAACATAGAAGAACTATGAAAACAACTGGAAAACTAATAACAAAATGGCAATAAAAACGTACAAATCAGTAACTGCTTTAAGTGTTGATGGACTAAGTACTCTGATTAAAGGACACAGGGTGGCTAGTTGGATAATAAACAGACCCTTCAGTATGCTGCCTACAGGAGACTCACTTCAGGGTGAAACACACACAGACTGAAAGGGGATGGATAAAGATACACAAATAGAAACAACAAGAAAAAGAAGGTAGCAATACTCATATCAAACAAAGTAGACTTTAAAACAAAGACTATTAACAAAGACAAAGAATGGCATTATATAGTGATAAAGGAAATCAGTACAAGAGGAGGATATAACATTCCTTAACCACATATGACTAGAGATGTATTAATACTCCTTTTGTTACCAGAATGTTATTAACTGGAGTGTTTCAATATTTATTTACATAACAAATTGCCAGCCACAGGCATTAGTTTCTGCAAAAAAAACCCCAATCAATAATATGTTAACATATACAGGAGCACCTAAATTTATAAAGCAAATACTAACTGATGTAAAGGAGCAAACTAACAATAACACAAAAATAGGCGACTTTAACACTCCACTGACACCAGTAGACAGATCAGAAAGAAAACCAATAAGGCAAAGGTGGTCTTAAATGACAAATTAGACTAGTTGGACTTGATTGATATCTATAAGATATTATGTCCCAAACCAGGAGAACATACATTCTTTTAAGTGCACATGGAATGTTCCCCAGGATAGGTTACATACTATGTCACAAAACAAACTTCAGCAATTTTAGAGGACAGAAATTATATCAGGTATTTTTTTCTGCCCATAGTAGTATGAAACTAGAAATCAGCTACTGATAGAGAAACAGAAAGAAAACAAATCTGTGGACACTAAACAGCATGCTACTGAAAAACAATGGGTCAATGATGAATCAAAGAGGAAGTCAGAAAATACTTTGATATAAATGAAAATGGAACACAACTTTCCAAATATATGGTATGTAGCAAAAGTAGTACTAAAGAGAAGTTCATGGCAATACAGCCCTTCCTCAAGTAAGAAGAAAAACTTTAAGTAAACAACTTAAGCTGCCATCTAAAAATTTAGAAAAAGAACAAATGAAGCCCAAAGTCAGAAGGAAGGAAATATTAAAGATCAGAGAGAGAAATTTAAACATAGTTTTAAAAAGGAAATGGAAAAGATAAATGAAAGCCAGAGCTGGTTTTTTGGTACAGACATAAAAAGTTGATAACAAAGTCAGTCTCATCAAGAAGAAGAGAGAGAGGATCCAAATAAAATAAGAAGTGAAAGAGGGGAAATGGCAAACAATACCACAAAAACACATAAGATTGTAAGAGTACTATGAATAGTTATATGCCAGCACATTGGACAATCTAGAAGAAATGCACAGATTTCTATAAGCACACAACCTGGCAAGATGGAGTCAAGAATAAACAGACAATTTGAGCTGACCAATCACTAGAAGTGAAATTGAATTTGTAATTAGAAAAAAAACTAGCAAACAATAGTTCATGACCTTACAGGGGAATTCTACCAAACATACAAAGAAGAACTTCTATATATCCTTCTTAAACTCTTCCCCAAAATTGAAGAGGATGAAACACTTCCAAACTGATTCTATGAGGCTACCATTGCCCTGATACTAAAACCAAAGATACTATAAATAGACAAAACTTTGAGCCAATCTTTAGATGGAAAATTCCTCAACAAAATATGAGCAAACGAAATCCAGCAATACATTAAAAGGATCATGTACCATGGTCAAATTTATTTAACTTTAGGGTCACAGGGATGGTTTAATGTTCACGTGTCAGTCAATGTGATATACCGCATTAACAAAATGAAAGATAAACATCATATGATCATCTCAATAGACTCAAGAAAAGCATTTGAAAAAATTCAGCATGCATTCATGATCAAAGCTTTCATTAAAGTGAGCATAGAGGGAACATAACAATGTAAAGGCCATTTACAACAAACGCACAGCCAACATAATACTCAATGGTGAAAAGCTGAAAGCTTTCCTGTTAAATTCAGAAAGAAGACAAGTGGCAACACTCTTGCCACTTCTATTTAATACAGTTTTGGAAGTCTTAGCCACAGCAGTCAGAGAAGAAAAAGAAATAGAAGGTACCCAGGTTGGAAGATGATCTGATAATCTCTACAGAGAACCCTAAAGTCTCCACCCAAATACTATTATAACTAATAAGTGAATTCAGCAAGATTGCAGAATCCAAGATTACTATAGAGAAATCATTTTTGTTCCTGTATAATAATGGCTTCCCAGATGGTGCTAGTAGTAAAGAACCCCCCTGTCATTGCAGGAGACATAAGAGACACAGTTTTAATCCCTGGATCAAGAAGATCCCCTGGAGGAGGGCATGGCAACCCACTCCAGTTTTCTTGCCTAGAGAACCCCATGGACAGAGGAGCCTGGCAGGCTACCAGTCTATAGGGTCGCAAAGAGTTGGACATGACTGAAGCAACTTAGCACACAGCACACACACTAATAGTAAAGTATCAGAAAGAGGAAATTTAAAAAGAATTCCATTTAAAATTGCATCAAAAAGAATAAAATACTTAGGAATAAACTTAACCAAGGATCTGAAAGACCTGAAAATTATAAAGCATTGATGAAGGAAATTGAGGATGATGCAAAGAAATGGAAAGATATCCCATGCTCTTGGATTGGGAATATTAATATTATTAAAATGGCCATTCTATCCAAAGACATCTACAGATATAATGCAATCTCTATCAAAATGCCCATGACATTTTTCAGATCTAGATCAAATAATCTTAAAATTCTCTGGAACCACAAAAAACCCTGAATTGGCAAAGCAATCTTGGAAAAAAAAGAATAAAACTGGAGGAATCATGCTTCCTGACTTCAGACTATACAACAAAGCTACATTAATCAAAACAGTGTTGTATTGGCACAGAAAGAGATGCATGGACCAGTGGAACAGAATTAGAGAGCCCTGAAACTAACCCACACACCTGTAGTCAATTAGTCTTTGAGGAGGGAAGCAAGGATATACAATAGAGAAAAGACAG